AGCAAAGTTTATCTTAATTTTTACCTAGAAACAAAAAGTTTCAATTTCACCTCCACAAATTAGCCCATTGAACAACTGTCTTCCGAACGAAAATTTTCATAATCCCATTAATCATAATCCCATCAACCTAGTATTACGCCAGACAGATGCTACCAAAACTTACATCCACATATTGTTGTTTCTAATGCCACTTGTCTATACCAGCAAGCATGCTGGGTGAAACCAAGTGAATTTTGAAGCAGAGGGTGAGCTTTTTGTTTTTCAGGGAATCCATCTACGGCAAGAAGGCGACTTCAGACACACGTCACTGCCCGTTTAAAAGATGAACCCATTCATACATACACAGATCATAATTTTGACCTGAACTTGATAAAGATCTATTTCAGCAGAAGTATGATTTGTTATGGAAACATGGAGGATTTTGTGACCCGACAGATTTAACGTGCACCAGTCACTACACGGGAAGTCTCTACCAATGCTCTACCAACCAGGAAATCCCGGTCTCCCACCTATTCTCTCATTCGTAAACATCACAAGATTACTAAATAAGATTTTAATGATGAAGAAAACTATTTTTTTTTATCCTCTCCACTTGCGGCAGTACGAAAAACTGTGATTTTCAGTGATAAAGTTTTTTTTTCAGAATTAAAAACAATTTTTCTATTCGAATTCTTAATTATTGTTTTTAACGGACGATTTTATTCAGGCGCATTTTTTAGGTCTATTTTTGATAAATTTTTTCTATCATCACTTTTTTCTAAAATTTGCGCCTTTTAGTTTTGTTTTAAGAATTTAAGAATTATTTTTTTCAATTTTTTCTTTTTTTAGAATTTTTTAATTATCTCTGTTTATATAATGAAGCGGGTTTTTTCTAACTGTCTCTGCTATAATTTTTTTTCTTTTATGACTAGTTTTTCCCAAAATTGTAGTAATATGGAAAACTGAGATTTTTAGAACTGTTTTTTTTCCTGTTATTCTTTTTGTGAAATTTTTTATTTCTATAGACGATGTTTTTATTACGACGCGTTATTTAAGAGCATTTTTGATGATTTTATTTTCTTATCTCCATTTTTTCCTAGATAATATGGAGAAATAAAATTTTGCTTTTGAATTCAAAACGATCTATTTTCCTCTTTCTCTTTTGCTTTATTCATAACTGTCCAAAGCACTGTTAGTATCGTTTTTATACCTGTATATATATTGTTTTTGTTGTATTCCTCGCTATCTTTATTATCTCGCAGTACCGTCATTCGGGGCTACTTTGTGCTGTTTTTTTTCCTGTTATTCTTTTTGTGAATTTTTTTATTTCTATAGAAGATGTTTTTATTACGACGCGTTATTTTTTAAGAGCATTTTTGATGATTTTATTTTCTTATCTCCATTTTTTCCTAGATAATATGGAGAAATAAAATTTTGCTTTTGAATTCAAAACGATCTACTTTCCTATTTCTCTTTTGCTTCATTCATAACTGTCCAAAACACTGTAAACTACGGCCAGCGGGCCAACTGTGGTCCGTTGTAAGGTTTTATCCGCTAGTATCGTTTTTATACCTGTATATATATTGTTTTTGTTTTAATCCTCGCTATCTTTATTATTTCGCAGTAAGTGGTAATTATGATATATATTTTTTTCCATTTCTTGCGTTTTTTTTATTTTGCCATTTCAATTTTCTTATAAATGTAGACTTTAGTATTTTTTACAGCAGTTTTTTTTAGTATATTATGTAAGCTAACATCAAATGCTGATAATTTGTTCCAAAATAATTAATAAATATAGATGCAAATTACGTAAGGTATTTGTATATTCTTTTTACTATTTCCCCTCTATTTAGTAAATTCATTTAATTTACTTGATATTTGGGGACTATATTTTTCTATTTTTTTCTCGCTTTACAGTTACAATTTTTTTATTAGCGTTGATTGCCATAATTTGTTTTCTGTAATATGCAGCATTTTGTATTCTCCAGAAGATTGAGTAACATTAAAAAAAGAGATTAACATTTTTCGAGTTCACGAAACCTTTGCGTATCTGGATTATAGAGTATTTGAACAGTAATATGGATTTCTGAACGTCTTTTTTTCTCTTACATGTTTTATTTGCAATAATCTATTTATAAGTTTCATGTCAGTTAGAATTCTACTTAATTTTGAATAATGAAATTCTGAACAATTTTATTTTACACTGGATTTGTATTTCTTGGAAACTGAAAATCTAGTTCCATATTCTCTGATTCTTTCCGCGGCTGTTTTTCCCTATTGATTACTCACTTAAAAATTTTTTAACTGTAAACTAAACACACTAACAAATAAAAATGGCACAGCTTTGTATAAAAAGTGGGCTTTAATAGTGGAGGAACTGGTTTAAACTAGTTGAATCAGGATTCATTAGCACTTGTTTACATTCCGAGAGTTAATTTTTAATGGTCAACCTCTCAATTTTGTGTAATTGAGGGAACATTAAGTTTTGTCCTCTCTGTTATATGAGAAACTTTAAAATTTGAAAACTCTTTTTTCAAATATATAACATAAAATGATTGTAATAATAAACTTTATTGTTGAAACCAGTTATTAAGTTAAAAGGTTTTTTACGCAATGAATAAAAAAAATTAAAAGAAAAATTGTGACAAAGGGGACAAATAAATATTTGAGATAATTTTTGAGTTAAAAAACAAGAAAAAAAATTTTTTTTGTGACAGAAATCACTGCATAATTAGACGCAGGAACAATTTATTTTACAATATAAACAGGGGTCNGGTCTGTCCAGACATTTTGGGAAAGGTCCGTTTTTCGTGAAATTGTGAAAAAATTACTCACATTCTTTCAAGCAGGGTCCGCTTTTATGACTTTGTGCAAATAGGGTCCGTTATTGCAAAAAAACATTTTTTTCAAGGAGTTTTCAAATTATAAAGACGTACAAGATTATGCACAAACTGTAAAATTATAATTAAAAAAGTTAAATTTTAAAAAATAAACAACAATTGCTGCTTCTAAATTAGAGATACAACATACAAATATTTGGTATTTAGCCTATACTGCTGAACGCAGAATATTCATTTCGGACGAATAATTTAAGAATCGTCTGCCGAAGACAAAACTTTATTCGTTTACATTCATCTTTCTTGTTTTCTGCCCAGTAAAGGGTTTATTTGATTAACAAAATAATAATGAAGATAAACAAATTTGTGAAGGGTCCGATTAAAAGAAAAATCATTTTGTGAAGGGTCCGTTTTTAAGTTAAAATATTTTGTGAAGGGTCCGTTTTTATGAAAAGATATTTTGTGAAGGGTCCGTTTTTATGAAAAGATATTTTGTGAAGGGTCCGTTAAAGGACCCAAATTTCTTCTAAACAGAACCCTGAATATAAACACTTACATTTAGTAAAGTAAAAAATATGTATATAAATATTATACTAAAGAAGATTTTTTAAACCATTATTTCTAACTACTTAAACTATTAACACTCAACATACTGCAATACTGGAAATAGCACTATCTGTTGAGGAATGAGATTAGTATTTTTCCACCAGCCGATATTTTATCGCCAATTTTTCAAAACAAAATTTCTTCAACAAATAAGGAGAAATTTGAGAATATACGGGTATACAGGAAACAGTAATGAAATACAGGAGACATGGCAGGTATGTAAAAAAAAAATTTCTTCCAAAATGTTTTTAAAAAAATATTGAAAATTTTATATTTCTCTTTTTGAGTTATCACTTTTTGACGTACTCAATTTTGACAGATTCTATAGTAAATCTATTTTATTTCTAGATCTCTTTTGTGTGATCATTGTATGGAATTCTGCGTGGCTAAAAGAAACCCAATATTTTTAACTCGATAGTTCGATACACGAACTTTAAATTTTAGTAATCATTTCTAAACTAGCTTTTTGAAAAAATAAATTTTACATCGTAAATCCAAGTGACGTTTCGATCCTTCTTTCGTCAGTTACAACTCTACCTATGTCGTTACATTTTTCAAAATCCCGAAACGTTTAATACGATTTTTTGTCTAGTCAGTTATCTATCGCATATTTGATTAATCATTTTTTGACGCGATTTACTTCTGTCGATTTCATCGATTATCTCTGGATTATTCGGCAGTTATAACAACGTATTTTCGCAAAGTTTTAAAAATCTTGAAATTTTTAATGTGGTAATATTATTAATCCTGAAGTTGAATTACGCATTCAAATAATCTTATTTCACTACACTTTCTTTGTAAGCTTTATCGTTAAAATGACGGATTTTTTTATAAATAGTAATTTCTACGCTTTTCCTCGAGATTTTAAATAATAGCTTCTTCACGAGTTTTTTCTGATGTTATCGTAAATCTTAATGACTCTTAAGCAGTTATTACAACTTTTCAACGAGATTTCAAAAATCTCATTTCTTATTACGATATTATTAGACACTCAAGTTTTAAGTTGTCCATAGCATATATACCCATTATGACAGGTTTAGATTTTAATATACATTAAACAAAATCATAATAAATCAATTGGTTACCTGAAATGTTCCGTTTAAAAGTACAATAAAAACAGAAAAAATAAAAGTTAAACCCTTATAACGCTACATGGCGTGTGTCTTTTCATGTTGGCCGCTTAATCAGAGCTCCGATGCATCAAAGATGATAGCTGCTATACTGGTGCACTGGCATATGCTTTAAATTGAGCTTAGAAACCATGCACTCCAGACGCTCTAGAAAAACACAATTTTTATCTGGAAAACAAACTAGACAGCTATTTCCTACGAAGCAGTAGGCTGCCAAAATAAGCATCAAGCTGTATGTAGAATTATTAATTGTTATTGAAAAACAAATTAACTAACTTTTTCAGCATCACTTGCAGTGGAAATAATAATTCAATAAAGGAGAAGGGCACAAATGTCGGATTAACCGGAGAATGTTTCACGTGCAGTATAAAATTTAAGGCACTTATACTNGCTTTTGGAACAAGAGCTTCAAAAAATAGTGTTAAACTAAATAAAGAAAAGGATAAATACCTCTCCTGCAAATATATCTTGACGTGAAGCAGCAACTTTATCTTTGGACTTCCCAATGATGGAGACATCTGAAAATAACAAATCAACAATATCAAATAATCATACTTACATACACAGGATATCTGCAACATTTTAGACTTTCAAATTCATGGCTGTCCATGACTAATTGAAAGAGTTTCTCATGACTTAACCAAGTTACTATTTTCTCCGAAAAAAAAAACGCAGCAATAAATTTATAAAAGCATTACAATAACATTATTTGAAATTATAGGTATAGCCAAAACTGTTATGCTCTGCATTTTCATATCTATAGATTTTAAATTTAATAAAACAGATAATTGCAAGAGTTGAAACAATAAAATAGCTGAAAAAAATATAAAAAGCAAATATTTTTTTTCTTTTTTTTCTGCAGAATTATATTCTAAAGATACTTTTCTTGCTCATCGGAAAGAAAAGACTCATAATTTTTCTGCTCTCATCTCGAAATAAAAAAAAAATTCGTCAATGACTGGATTGCTTCAGTTAGAATTTTTAATTGATATCATAAAAAAATAATAATAACAAGAATTCTGAAATCACAGAAGTTAAAAAGATAATTCGCTCAAGAAATTATGTTTTTTCTTTCATTTTTTAAGGGGTGATTGTGAGCCCAACTCAAAAATCCTGAAAATTTCTCTAATTCAATCATTAATTACATATTTCAAAAAATTAACGCCTTTATACATTTAAATCATTGTTATTTTCAAAAAATGAAATTCTAAATAAATTATATGCAGCATAATTTAAATGAATAGTTACGTGTAAGTTTACTTTTATCTATAATCACATAATTTTGAATTGATAACATAAAAAATGTAGTAATAACAAGAATTCTGTAATCACAGAAGTTAAAAAGATAATTCACTCAAGAAATTATGTTTTTTCTTTCATTTTTTAAGGGGTGATTGTGAGCCCAACTCAAAAATCCTGAAAATTTCTCTAATTAAATCATTAATTACATATTTCAAAAAATTAACGTATTATACATTTAAATCATTGTTATTTTCAAAACATGAAATTCTAAATAAATTATATGCAGCATAATTTAAATGTATAATTATGTGTAAGTTTACTTTCATCTATAATCACATTTATTATTCTACCAGAAAGAATACTTACAAATGAAAGTGATGCCAAGTATAAATTCGAGTTCTAATATTTCTAAATAAAACATAATTTTTTATGCATAAATGTGATCAACAATTTCTTGAAATTTTTGAATTTTGAACCTTGGATTTCCGTAAACTTCCAGATCGCGTTTACCGAAAAATCCGAAAATATGGATTTTTCCGGAGCACAATCATCTTGTTTTTTTTTTTTTTTCAAATGCCATAATTTTCAAAAACATGATGAAAACATTTTATAATTTAATAAAATATGACTTTTCGTAGGGATTTTGTTACAAATTCAGATATTCACAACACCGTAAAATTGGAGAAGGGTGGGGGTAAATTCCATTTCAAAAATTAGATTTTTTTGGTGACCAAAAACCATGACTTTACATGATTTTCTTTAAAGAAATAGATAAAATCATGACATTTCATGACAAATTTTGTTCAATAACGAACTTCATGAGTTTCCATGATTTCTCATGACTTTCCAGGTGCTCAGATACCCTGCATACACATAATAAATGCACTTAAATTCCATTTAAAAGAAATTTACCAGCTTTCTTATCTTCTATCAAAGGTTGAGTAGCCACGGGCACACTTTTGATATCGAAGGGGAATTCTGAAGGTTCTAAATGTGTATTGATGCAAAGGTTTTTCCAAACCAACAATAGAAATTGACAAACCTCAAAAAAAATGCGTTGATGAGAAATGAAAGGGAGCTATTCTAATCATGTGGAACATTTAAAGAGCATAGTTGAAAACCTTAGACAGGGTAAAAATTAGCTGCCAGCTCTGCCCCTAGGTTAAAATATGCCTCATCATAGTTTCAGTTAATCTTAAACTAACAAACTTTCCAGCTCATTATGGTTTGTAGTGTAAATGCTAGTCTGTTCAAGTTATACAAGAGAGGTCGGGGGTTTGTATCACAGCTGAGGAGAAAGAATTTATCAACTATCATTTCGCAAGTGCATATTTTTTTATTATATTTTATTCAATTTATAAGCTATTTTTGAATTCAAATATTTTTTTTAAAAACTTAAAATTTATAAGAACAAAAAAAATGAATCGATGTTCAATATTTTTAATTAAAAACCTAAGGATTATATTTTTTAAAAAAAGTTGTAATAAATATGTTTTAATAACTAGATTTTTTTAAATTTATAATAAATTTAAGTTCTCATTAAACTTAATTATGAAAATCTAAACAAAACTATATTATCACGCTTGTTTAAAAAAGATAAAAGGGACTATTTATTACTTAACTATAATCCATTGAATTTCAAATAATCAGAATACATTCGAAATAAATTTTGCATTTTTCAGGGATGAGAGTAGTCAGAAAGTAAAAAAGAGGAAATCCAAAAAACAAAAAAAAGAAAGAAAAAAAAATATATACAGGGTGTCTATAAAAGAGCTCCGGGGTTTTGAGGCAAAATATTTTAA